AGAGTGAGAAATCATCCCCCATGGGGGATGGCCATGCCTCAATCCCTTCTCCATTCTCCTCCTGGGATTTTGGGCATGTCCACACAGCATGATTTTCGAGCCGCTGGGTCCAGGATTCAAATCCACTGTCGACCATGTGGGAGTCCATCACCTTAACCACCATGCCACCTGCTGACTCTATGGGGAGAGGAAATCTTTTTTTTTTTTCCCGAAGAAATTAACTTCGTAGCTTCCCACATGGCTGATGTTGCTCAAGTTTTGGACTTGGCAGCTTGCTTTCCCTTTCCTTCTCTCTCTGTCTGGTCAAATTTAAAAATAAAAATAATAAATAGAAGTAAATAAATTTTTAAAAAAAGAAATGAACTTTCATTTGAAAGGAGACAACTTTTATATCCACATGTCATCTGTATATTACACAGTAGCCTGTTTAACCATTGCCCCAGTACCAAAACTTCTAATATCAAATTACACAATTGCTCTAGGTAATAAATGAAGGTTGTCCTTCACTGACTATGGAAATACTTGAAGCATCAGTAAGTTTGGCACAAAAATCACAATTTAAGTAAGGTTCAACAGATATGTCCAACGCAGCATGTTTTGCAGGAACCCAGTCTTTTCATTTCTAAAAATTACTTAATTATTATTATTTTTTTTTTTTGGAGAGATTTTCACTGTAGGGCGCGTGCGCTCGCCAGACAGACAGAGAGAGACAGAGACAGAAAGCGAGAAATCACCCCCCAGGGGGGATGGTCACGCCGCAATCCCTTCTCCTCCATTCTCCTCTCGGGATCTTGGGCACGCACGCACACGTGCCCGGCGTGAGTTTTAAGCCACCGGGTCTGGGACACAAACCACAGTCGACTACGTGGGAGTCCAGCGACATAGCTAGTACACTAACTGCTGGTTCCCAAAATTACTTAATTATTTAAGCTTGAGAATTCTGTTCTTCAGACTGTCCAATTGTTTTCTTCTATAGTGTCAAACTTTCTGTATTCAACTATGTGACTAGAGAGCGGAAATCTTTAATCATTTCATTAGAGTGGTCGCCCCGGGCTCCTCAGAGACCACACAGGAAGCGACATGTTGACGTGTTGCTCTTATGGCACTAGGCTTGTAGGGGCTTAATAAAGACTTAATAATTATTGATTAAATAAATGTAAGAGCACTGGGACCAGCAGTTGGCATAATGGCTATGTCGCTGAACTCCCATGTAGCCGACTGTGGTACAAGTCCTGGACCTGGTGGCTTAAACTCACACTGGGCGTGTGTGTGTGTGTGTGTGTGTGTGTGTGTGCGCATGCCCAAGATCCCGAGAGGAGAATGGAGGAGAAGGGATTGCGGCGTGGCCATCCCCCCTGGGGGGTGATTTCTCGCTTTCTGTCTGTCTCTCTCTGTCTGTCTGGCGAGTGCACGTGCCCTACAGTGAAAACCTGTAATAAACGAATGAATGAATGAATGAAAGAGCACTGAGAAATGACCATCAACTCTTCTGTCCTGGGGTACTAGGTGTTTTCTCTCTTTTTTGCCAAAGGATGTGTGCATCTGAAGGAGAAAAATAGAGAGGGAAAGTAAGAGAGCACCCTCCACCTCCATAGGACATGGTCACACTACAATTCCTTCTCCATCTGGGGATTTTAGACACGCACACACATGCACCCAGTGTTTCTCAAGCCACCAGGTCCTAGACTCAAAGAGTCCAGTCAGGCATGTGGGTTCCAGCTACATAACCACGGGCTGACCTGCTAGGGACATTTTCTGGAGGTGTCTGACCTCGGCCGACAAGCTGGATGTTTATCTTAGGGAGCAAGAAGCACAATCCCCCCCCACCCCCCGAAGGAGATATTTGAGGTTGGAGGAAGAGTGGGAAGAAAGTTTAGGGAATTCCACTTGATGGTAAAATAATAATGGGAATATGGGATGAAGGGGCAAAGGTTTGGAAAAGCCACAGTGGGAAGGACTCTAGGGTCAAACAATTGCTGACAGTGTTTAGGGCTCAACTGAGGGTGGAGGCGATGATTTGTGAATTTTTTTGTTTTTTGTTTTGCTATAGGGCACATGCGCTCGCCAGACAGACAGAGAGAGACAGAGAGACAGAAAGTGAGAAATCACCCTCCAGGGGGGCTGGCCACACCGCAATCCCTTCTCCTCCATTCTCCTCTCTGGATCTTGGGCACACACGCACACATGCCCGGCGTGAGTTTAAGTCACCGGGTCTGGGACGTGAACCACAGTCGACTACGTGCAAGTCCAGCAACATAGCCATTACGCTAACTGCTGGTCCCAATGATTTGTGAATTTGATCTTGGCAGAACCTCAGACAGTTGGGTTACATTAGATATTGGGGACACAGGGACCAGCAGATGGCATAATGGTTAAATAGCTGGACTCCCACTTAGTCAACCAGACCCTGGGCTTAAAATTCACACCAAGCACAGGTGCCTGCGTGCCCAAAATCCTAAGGGAAGAATGGAGAAGGGATTGTGGCATGGCTATTCCCCCTGGAGAATGATTTCTTGCTGTAGGTTTCTGTGTGTCAGGGGAGTGCACACCCTACAGCAAAAAACTCTTTTCTTAAAAAACGAGATTGGGGACACATCAATGATTCAACAGGGAGAAAATGAACAGAGAGGGGAGTGAGGGTGCCTCACTTTGAAGAGCAAATGTGGGGGAGCCGGCTGGTAGTGTGGTGGTTTGGGCACTGGACTCCCACAAGGCTGACCACAGTTCAAGTCTCGGACCTGGCTGGCTTGCTTTCTCACTTTCCCACTCTTTCTCACTCTATCCCTCTGATCAAATTAAAACTAAATAAAGTTAAAAAAAATTCTTAAAAAAAAAGAGCAAATGTGGTGTGCACTTGATTGGACAGGGAAGACAGAAAAGCAGGTTCTGTTTGGGAGAGGGGGAGCTGGGCTTTAAGATCTCAGGTGCAGGGACCAGCAAGTGGTGTGGAGATTAAGGTGCTGGATCCCGCATGGCCAACTCAGCAG